ACACACACACACACCTAAAAACTTCATCTGTATATCTACATATAAATTTTACTTAAACAGTTGAAAATTTTACTTTTTTAAGACATGTCTTTTATAAAAGATATCAGGAAAATTCACTTATGAAACATACGAATCTCAAAAGAATCATCCTAATTATAGTATCAGGTGTGTTAAAAGATGTCATAGGACGAAGTAGCTCCTGGTAGCACTAATTGGTTGGGAAATGGGAAATGTGGGAGGTTAATTTTGCCAAGTGATCCCACACACATGTAGCCAGGAACTTCAAAAATTCCCACCACAGATAATTCTCTGTCCTGGGGGGAAAACAGCTCTCCTCCTCCACCATCAGGGGACATGCTGATTCCTAGAGAGAATGGAACTCAACACTATGCACTCTGCTGCATGTGCAACCAGGGCTGGGCTGAGGGTTACCACAGCTCTAATCCGCATTCACATACCTAGACGCAGCCCCCTCCAAACAACCCCACCTGTGAGTACATGAGGCTTTGAAGGGACATCTAGATACAAGCCATAATATCCAGTGATTCCTTTTCTTCCTATTCTCAACTAGTGTCTCCTTTTATTTTTCTTAATCACACAAGTCAAAGTCCAGCCATTCTTCACAGCGGTATCCACTTGTTAAATATCACTGACATCATTTCCCTTTCATGTCCACGTTTTCAGTCTCATTTATGTTGCTCAACATTTTCTTACAGTTCTTGAATAGGAGTTAAGATGGGAGTGTGGTTATACTAATCATTTGTTTATTATATCCATAGTGATGAGAATTAGTTCAGTATAACAACCTAGTGATCTGATTCTAACTGCATTTCTTCTGACTCATTCTCAAAAATGTGTATTGAGGTGATATAGAAAAGCTGTGTTTAGTTTATTTTGTGATTGAACGTTAACTTTTCTACATATTAATAATTTGTCTAATTTCTCTGTCTTTATAACTGGGTTCATTAGCAAAACCTTCTACATTTTGGGTAGAGACCATTAAAAGGATTTGGAGGCCTAAAGATTTCCTGATGGATAATCTGCTAGGAAGGCTTTTGGCTGTAAGTAATGAAAAATCTAACTGGTGGTAGATTTGTCTCACATAATGAAAAGTCTAGCGGAGGCAGCATAGAGCCTGTGATGCCATCAGCAGTGCTAGCTTTCTTCTGTCCCCTTCTTCAGATACTGCTTTTATGCTCATAGGTTACCTGATTATTCTCATTTGGATTTTAATGTACTTAAAAACTTTGCCTCTGTATTGTATATCATTTTTCTCTCTTTTTTTCCTAGCCTTTTTCTCATTGTTCTCATCATATCAGACATCATGGCCTTGGTAAGGTATTATTGAATATTTAGCACAAATAAGATCAAGAATCTAAGAGTTAAGTTGATTTCATCAAGAAAAATACAAATTTATTTCTGTACATGAAATCTTTAGATATTGAGTCCTAATTGCTGGCATAAAGACAAGCTACTTTCTGTATGAACTCTTTGTAAAGGGTCAAAAGTCTGACTATTTGATCTATTCAACTCTGTCATTTATACCTACTTTTCCATGTTGCTTTGTATCTGAAATGACCCTTCCATAGGAAATTAACAAAAGATGCTAGAAAGATTCACAGAATTTGCTGAACACTGGTATATTCCCAGTTATGGATTATGACAGTCAAATAATACAGATTGAAATCAGCCAAGGGGGAGATATACAGACCAGGGTCTGAAAAGACATCAAATGCAGAGCTTCTGTTGTCTTCCTCCTTCAGAGTCAAGACAGTGTTACTCTCTTCACACTCAGGTGTGTCATACAACTAAAATATTGCCATCCAGGAATACCTTAGCTTTGGTGTTAAGGGTTTTTATTGAGGCATGATCATATACTGTCCATGTGGCCAATCATTAATCTTTAATGTTTTCATGGCTAGGACTGATATAATATGGCCCAAAGCCCTCATCATATATCACATGTCTGACTGTCTAATAATCAGTGCTCTGGTTGAGATACTTCTATGAAGCATGACATTCCAAGGTTCTGAAAATCACTTCCTAGTAGTTGAGGACAAAGGCCACACCTCTTTTGGGGGGTTAAGGATTAATTTTTTACTATTAAATGTCCCATGATAAAAGTGATTAGTAAACGCAGATTGAGGGTAACTTCCTAAATCAGATTCCTAGATATTTGATTTAAATGATAGTATATTTATATGATATTGAGCTATGTATCTTAATGTATTTCTGAAATGAACCACACATAAGATTAGAACAAAATCAGCTTTCATTTTTTCTCATAAAGTGACAAATAGACAAGGCATATTAGTAAATGAGAATTGAAGTTCTCTGATTAATTCTATATGAAGAGTCAGACTGCTCAATTTAACTAGCAAAGGCACTTGTGATCTAGCTTCTACTCACTTGACTGATGTCACCTCTCACTTCTTTCATCCTTTTTATCTCTACCAGCCTCACTGTGAACCTACCAAACTCCATCCAGACAGGTGGTGTTTATATAGGCTATTCTGTCAAAAACATACTTCCATGTCTGTCTCCCAAACTTCCTCTCTCACATGATTCCTTCTTTTCACTTAGATTTCATCTTCCATTAAGAAACTTTCTCTTATACTACTTCTTCAGTGCTTTCATAATTGCCTGCATTTTCCAAGGATATTGCCTCTCTCTTTCTCTCTCTCTCTCTCTCTCTCTCTCTCTCTCTCTCTCTCTCTCTCTCTCTCTCACAGTGTTACACATGTGCACACACATATGTGCAGGTGTTCATATGCCTGATAATTTGAATCATTCACTTGATAATATGCTTTGTGGAAGGGCACTTTTCTCTAGGACCTACCTGAGTGATCGATCTATCATTAGTACATAATAGGTGGTGTTGGTAAATATTTGTTGATGAATGGATGATATGGTTCCTTTTCATTTATGTCTAATATATTTTAGTGTCTTTTATTAATGTTGGCTCATTATTTCTAGTTATTCAAAAAAGTGTTGTATTCATTTCATTAATTGGTAATTGTAATTCAGACATTTAGATTATTGCTCATTTTAATCCAAGCAAATTTTAGTAAAAAGTATATTCTGTTGATCTTAAATAGTGATTCTGAAGGCTCAGAAATGTGAAACGTACAATCTTAAACCAAGTTTGTTTTTAGATTGAATTTAAATAGACTTTTTAAATTAGAACCATGTTTTATTATATTTACAGCAATTTTTCTTCTTGATCAAGGATTATGGCAGTTGGCTTGATATTGGAACAAGGTATAGTATATATTCACATAGAAGTTATTAACACTGCAGTGAAAAAAGCAAACTTGGTATGTTATATTCAAATTATCAATATGATTTTGAGGTAAGTATAGCAAATAGCAATTATTTTAAGCCTGTGGAACAAAAATATTTCTCCAGTTCTTGGAACTATACTGGTATTTTCTTGAGATGTTGTGGAGTACAGAGTGGATGTTAAGTCTAGAAAGAACTAAAAGAAAGGTAGGAAAAAACCTGAATTTGGGTGTGCACATAGATTGCTCCATTGTCTTTGATGTTCTCTTAAATTCATAATGTCTCTAGAAAAATAAGGCACTATAAATTTGTGTGGTAGTTTAAAATCCATGCAATTAAACCTGCCCTAAAGGCATTGGGAGCAAATAACAGAATTACTGGTTTTTGCTGCTAATCGC